ATCTAACTCTTGATCTCAGCTCAGGATTTGATCTGAGGGTCATGAATTCAGGCCCCAGGTTGGGCTCTATGAAGCCTACTAAATGAAGCCTACTAAAACAAAAGAACACAGATTCCACTTAAGATTTCCAAGGTGCAGTATTAGCTAATCTTTTCAAACTAATTTAATTTGCTATTTCAGAACTAATCGATTTATGTTTGGACCATAGCTACAACCTGCCTAATATTTGACCTATAGCCTCCAACTCTAAAATATCCTATACAGAGCTTTACAAAAATAGTTTACAAAATAGTTTTTCTAAATGAAATTTTTTTAATAGTTTTTTTTTTTTTTTGGAGCAATTCTATGTTTACAAAAAAAATTGGGCAGAAAATAGAGAGGTTCCTACATCACACATACACATTCTCCTATTACTAATATCTTGTATTGGTGTGTATTAGTGGTATATTTGTTACCTTTGATAAGCCAATATTGATATATTAGTATTAACTAAAGTCCATAGTTTACAGTAGGGTTCACTCTCTTTTGTACAGTTCTGTAGGTTTTGATAAATGCATAATATTATGGACCCAGCATTACAGGATCATACAGAATAGTTTCACTCACCTAAAAATGCCCTATGTTCCTCCATTGTTCATCCCCACTCTCCACCAACCCCTGGCAACCAACAATCTCTTTTTTTTTAACCACTGATCTTTTTATTATCTCTATAATTCTGCCTCCTAAAATAAATTCTTACCATAATTTAAAACCTCAATCTCTGGAGTAGATCCAAATGTGGGAAAAGAAAAAGCAGGCTGCAGAAAACATGTATTCTATTTATAAATTTTTTAAACCATGCATATGGTTTGATTATACATAGAAAATTTCTGGAAGGATACATAGAAAAATAACTATTTCTATGTAAAGGATAATGGGGGGTTTTGATGAGGTCTTTTACTTTCTGTTTTACTTCTGTTTTGATTGTCATACCATGTACAAATATTATTTTGTAATTGAAAATATTTTAAATGATACGTTTTTCAAACGTGAAAGCCCTAGGTACCACAAGGGGAAAAATCTAGAGAGTGTAGCTACATAAAGATATTCTGTACCTCAAAAGCATCATAAAATCTGATCATCCCTCCTATTTATCCATCAATGATATACTTTTTAAAAAATTTTATTTCAGGGGTGCCCGGGTGGCTCAGTGGGTTAAAGCCTCTGCCTTCGGCTTAGGTCGTGATTCCAGGGTCCTGGGATCGAGCCCCGAATCCGGGCTCTCTGCTCAGCAGGGAGCCTGCTTCCTCCTCTCTCTGCCTGCCTCTCTGCCTACTTGTAATCTCTGTCAAATAAATAAATAAAATATTTTAAAAAAATTTTTATTGCATTTTAATTTATCTATGTTGTTCTTTAAACTCATATTTCCATACCTAAGAGTCTCCCATGGCTTTTTAATGATTTCTTGTTCCTTCTTTATATATTACCAACCTCCCACTCAGCATCCTATTGATTCCTATTTTAGGCTTAGTTGTTTTTTTTGTTTTTTTTTTTTTGTTTTTTTTAAAGATTTTATTTATTTGACAGAGATCACAAGTAGGCAGAGAGGCAGGCAGGCAGAGAGGGGAAAACAGGCTCCCTGCTGAGCAGAGAGCCTGATTCAGGTAATGATCCCAGGATCCTGGGATCATGACCTGAGCTGAAGGCAGAGGCTTTAAACCACTGAGCCACCCAGGAGCCCCTAGGCTGTTTCTTTTTAAAATGGTGACCCTTTTCAGCATTCCCAATCGGCTTTATCCTACTTTATTTTATAGCAAATACTACTTTCTAAAATGTTTTATTCCTTAGATAGTAAGTGTTTGATGTTTTTGTCTCTGTCCCTCATGCCATTTCCTACCACTAGAAAATAAAACACACAAGAATAAAGGTTTTTGTCTATCTTATTCACTGATGAATCCTCAGTGCCTGACACTAGCAGGCGCTCAGTAAAAATTTGTTGAATGATTAATTGAATTGTTCTTTAATTCTTAAACTTAAAACATGTTTTAAAATACCTATATGCCTAAAGTTCTGCTTCAGTTGGTATATGTTATGTAATTTGTTGTGTGACATAATCATCATACTCCTCAGGTGTCTAGCTATTTGGTTCACTAGCTTATATTCTCTACTACCTTTTTTTTTTTTAAAGATTTCATTTACTTGAGAGCACATCCTAGAGAGAGCATGAGCAGGGCTGGGGGTGAAGGTAGGTGGAAGAGCAGAGGGAGAGAAAGAAACAGGGAGCCTGATGTGGGACTCCATCCCAGGGCCCTGAGATCATGACCTGAGCCAAAGGCAGACTCTTAACTGAGCTACCCGGGTGCCCCTCTGCTACGGTTTCTGATAATGGATATGGAGGAAGAGAAAAAGAGCAGACCCTAGTTTTTATCCCTTCCTACAAGTTTAAAGACTGGAGATCAGAGAGCTCCATGTACCACAGAGGAGCTATAGTGCTTTATTTCTGTTGCTACTGTTGACTAGTTCTCTAGTGAGGATTTACCTTAAAACTCAAAGGCTAGGGGTGCCTGGGTGGCTCAGTTGGTTGGGCAACTGCCTTCGGCTCAGGTCACGATCCCAGGGTCCTGAGATCCAGCCCTGGTTCTCCCTCTGCCTGCCTGTGCTCTCTCGCTCTCTCTATGTCAAATAAATAAAATATTAAAAAAACAAAACAAAACAGGGGCACCTGGGTGGCTCAGTCATTAAGCGTCTGCCTTTGGCTCAGTTCGTGATCCCGGGTTTCTGGAATCAAGCCCTGAGTCGGACTCCATGCTCGGCGGGAAGCCTGCTTCTCCCTCTCCCACTCCCCTTGCTTATGTTCACCCTCTCTTTGTCTCTGTCAAATAAACAAAATCTTTAAAAAAATTAAAAAAGGGGCACCTGGGTGGCTCAGTGGGTTAAAGCCTCTGCCTTGGGCTTGGGTCATGATCCCAGGGTCCTAGCATACCATGAGGAGGGAGTACAAAGTTTCCTTAGACATTCTCTTTTCACCAAGTCATTAAACGCTTTGGTGATAGGAGCATCAGCATTCCCAAAGAGCTCTGAAGGGGCTGTCCTCTCAAAATGATGGTGATGAATGCTGTGGTAGGATTGTTTCCTAATCTCAAAGAAAATAATGCCATCCCAAAGTGGCAAAGCCCACATGATGGCATATAACCACCAGAGACACGGTGGGCACGATTACCATAATAAATCAAAAAAGAAAAGTTAGTCAGATTGTTTTGACAATCTGATTGTCAGATTGTCAGGGGGATAATGACCAAATGATAACAAAGTCCTTAGAAATGAAATGGCTTAAGTAGTCCATAAGGTGCTGCTTGACATATATAGGTGGGAAAATTCTGAACAAACTTGTGTTGTCATAGTGAAATTTGAAGACTCCCATCCAATTCACAGACCTGGAACTCCTTGATGATGGAAGGAGACTGGGTCCCTGTGAAGAAGTACCCAGCAGTGCAGCCACAGTTGTATAACCATGAACCTTCCCCTAATCCAGTGGTTTCCAGACTTGTCTGTACTTTAGAACACCTGAGAATTCTAAAGAACATACTCCAAACCAATTAAATCATAATTTCAGGGAGTGAGATCCAGGCACTGATACTTTTTAAAGCTCCCCTGGTAAATCCTGTGAGAACTTAGGGGATCACTGCCCTAATCCTTCTCTAGTGGCCACTTATTGAAAAAAGGAAAATACCAGACCTCCTGAGGCTTATTAGATACTGCCTCTTAATATCTGTTGATACCTAGAGACCCCAAACACCATCCTGGACAACTGGTTGAAATAGAAAGTCAAGTGATGGATATAGTCTTGGCCTGAGTCTGGGTAACAGTGAGTCCAGGAAGACCCATATTGTGGCTATTTCTCCAGTCCTAGAAGTGTAGTAAGAGTAAATACATTTTAATAACCAAAGCAGTCTTCATTTTGTTTTCCTGACCAATGGAGTGACTGCTGTTACAGTAGGAAGGGCTATGTAGATGCTCATAACTGCTTGCTACCACTCTCACACTAAGACTGTATACAGAAAGTACCACATCCTGGGGAACTCATGCTGGAATAGTGATTCATACCACATTCCCACTTAAATTCCTTTTGTGGTCACCAGATGAGTCATAGGGAATGACAGTGTAAAAACCAGACGGGTAGTAAAGAATGACTGGATTACTGCAGAGTTTGGTCAGGCGGAGATGGCAGTTGTAGTTGCTGTTCTCGGTGTGGGATCTTCACTGGAGGAAATTAATACAGAGTTTGACATGATATATAGATTTTGGTCTGGAAGTGCCCCTTCCACTCCATTCCAGTTAGTAAGGGAAGTCAGAAATAGATCACATTTAACTGCCAGGGACAGTAGTGAGCCCTTACTGTCTTGTCTCAGGGCTGTGTCAGCTTTCTGTTCTGTGGTGTGAAGGGACGTTGATCATCTTGCTATATCATAGAATGTTTACAGTAGTCTATTATAAAAATGAATGTTAAATGAACCCAATAAGCAGGAAGTAGTAATAAGCACTCCACATGTTTTGGTAAGACCTATGCATGCAAGAAGGTCCAAGAAAAACCCTGTAAAACTTCAAGGACCTGTCACAAATTTCTAGGGGTCCAATGTCCTGAGACATGTTAGGTTATCCATTCAAGTAAGTGACCGTGTGTTGTGTTTTTCATCACAGCAATAAAGAAAAAGGCAAAACATGGCAGACCTTCTTGGGTTGTGAAGACAACAAAATAGAACATTTGGGTGGCCTCCTCTAACCTATTTTCTGGGTAACTAGTTTTCAGTGGAGCCCAGGGCAAACTGTCTTGCCAGTTAGACCTTGTGATTGGGCAGATCCAGTGGTATTGGAAATTCATGTGGTAGAAATGTTATATGAAGCTTCTGATAAGTGCCAATAGGAGAATTACAACACAGATTCCTTGGTTTTTGAGTAAAGATCTATCTTCCTCAACCAGTGTTTTGTTTTGTTTTGTTTTGTTTTGTTTTGTTGAAAAGTAGCTCCTGATTTGCTGCTGGTACCTGGTAGAGATGGAACACTTGACCATGCGACATCAAGTGACTGTGTGAATAATCAAACCAACCATTATGACCTGGTGTTATCTGATTCACCAGACCATACAACTGGATGAGCACAACAGCAGTCCACGCCCTACAAGACTGGGAACACCGTCACAACTAAACTGAACAAGCAGGTGACTCAGACTATGAGTAGTACCTGCCCCTATTCCTTTAGCACTTCTCCCCCAATCCATATAAACTGGCTTCAAAAGAGTTCCTCTAACCAATTAATGGAAGAGAGAAACATTTGTTTGTGTTTTTTTTTTAAAGATTTTTATTTATTTATTCATCAGAGAAGGAGAGGGAGAGAGGCAGAGGGAGAAGCAGGCTCCCCACGGAGTAGAGAGCCCAGTGCAGGGCTCAATCCCCGGACCCTGGGATCATGACCTGAACTGAAGGCAGCCATTTAACCCACTGAGCCACCCAGGCACCCCTTGGTCTTATTAATTCAAAAAAGGGCCTGCAGTGAGCTTGCAATACCTGGGTGTGTGTGGTCACTATACAACATCACTCATTAGTAGCCCTGAAACACAACAGTAAAAAGAAATCCTTTCATTGAGAAGAACTTTAGGAGACAATGGCCTGAGGTAAGGGTATACACTGGTTCGTTTTTAATGGCTTATGAGTTGAAGAGCTGGACAAGAGCTTAGAACAAACTGGAAAACTGATTCAGTTTATGGGGCTAGCCAAGAGACAATAACCTGCAAATTAAGGATGCTGACCAATGGAATGAAGTATATGCTTAACCCCAATAATCAATATATAGTGCTGTCTTAACAAGAAAGTACACATAGTGGAGACGAGAGTGGCTCCTCTATTTTATACATGTCTAATTAAAAAAAAAAAAACTGGCATTATGTTTTCTACACGAAATTACAGATCCACAAAACTAAGTGAACCACAAGTAGGAAAATTACAATGAAAATCACACCAATGCATGTTATAGTCAAACTAATAAAACTAAGAAAAAGAAAAACATCTTAAAAGCATTCAGTACAAGTACACATTACACACAAGAAGGCTATTATTGCATTTATTTTAAAGTTTTTTAATTGAAGCATAACGCATGAATAGAAAAGTGCACAAATATAATTATTTAGCATGACTTCCACAAAGTGAAGATAACTATGTAATCAGCACCCACTTCATTAGCTTCAACACTGATTACCCCATATTTAATATACCACATTTAATGAATCTACCACATTTATCCATTCTGCTGTTGACAGCCAAGGGAGGTATTTCAATTTGGAGCTATTATAAGGACTGCTACTATGAACATTCTTGTGTACATCTTCTGGTGTACACATGTATGCATTTTTGTTGGGTTTTCTATTATACCTAATAACCCACTTGAAGAATTTTTGGTCCCTGAAACTTTGGACTTAGTGGTTTTGGAGGTCTTAATACTGAAGAGAGGAAGGTTTCCTAGGAAGTCTTCCTAGGAAAGTGGTTTCAGTGAATTATAAGTGGACACTGCTCAGTGGCAGGTATGGGATTTTCTGTCACAAACCAACAAAGGGATCACTCTTCTGGCAAGGTGAGGGATCCCTTTTATCTTTTTTTTTTTTAAGATTTATTTATTAGAGCAGGAGTAGAGGGAAAGGGAGAGAGGGAAGCCTAAGCAAACTCCACACTTAGCATGGAGCCCAAATTGAGAGTGATCCCACAATCCTGAGATCACAAACTGAGCCAAAACCAAGAGTCGGATGCTTAACTGACTGCATCAACCAGGTGCCATGGGATCCCTTTTATTTATTTTTTTTTAAGATTTTATTTATTTATTTGACAGATCACAAGTAGGCAGAGAGAAGGGGGAAAGCAGGCTCCCCACTGACCAGAGAGCCCAGCGCGGGGCTCAATCCCAGGTCCCTGAGATCATGACCCGAGCCGAAGGCAGAGGCTTAACCCACTGAGCCACCCAGGCGCCCCATGGAATCCCTTTTAATGAGGAAATTGCATTGCTGCTATATGATGGAATAAATATGACTATATATGGAATGTAAGAGTATTCTCTGAAATGCTTACTTGTATTCTCTTAGCCAATAGTCCAATAAAAAACTAGGGTAGCCCAAAAAGGACCTCCACTAGGACTCGTAAGAATGAATGTTGGAGCACCCGACCTTGTAAAGAATCCTGTTCAGGGTGCATCTGGGTGGCTCAGTCTGTTAAGCGTCTGACTCATCGTTTCAGCTCAGGTCACAATATCAGGGTTGTGAGATTGAGTCCTGCCTCAGGCTCTATGCTCAGCATGGAGTTGGCTTAGGATACTCTTACCTCCTTCTCCCTCTACTCCTCTCCCTACTCTCAATCTCTCTCTCTCTCTTTGCTCCTCTTCCCTTTTTTTTTCTCTCTCTCAAATAAATAAAATTAAAAAAAAATCGAATTCCATTCAGGTGAGGTACAAGCAAAAAGTGAGAGAAACCAAGAATGAATGGTGAAAGAGAACAACTATGTTTATGAATCTACGCCTCATAACCAGCTTAAAAAGCAAGTTTTATAAGACTATTTTGGAACTTGTTTTCTCCTGTACTATATATGAAGATTTCTGGAGTGGCTAATGTTTATGGTTTCAGGACTGAATGACACCACCCCATGATGATTTTGTAGCTGATGGGAGGAAATTGCATAGTGGAAAAGAGTGAGGTAAGCATATTTATTCCCTCTGGCTCCCTCCAGTAGAGGCTACCTGGAACTGGATGTATACCTTGACCTTAGGTCATTGCCTCTCTCAAAGTGAACTCTTCACAATTCTCTCTTTCCTGGTTCTGATTAATTTTTTCCTCTTCTGTCTCTTAGAGCCCCCCTTGTAATTCTGTTATATCCTACACACACACATTTGTAATTAGTCGCTTTGTAGGTAAATCTTTAAATTATCCTAAGTGTATCATTTGTTTCCTGTTAGGATTCTTGGACACAGGAACAGTTTTTTTGTTTTGTTTTCAGTGCCCAGCATGGGGCTTGAACTCCTGACCCTGAGATCAAAGTCCCGTGCTCTACCAACTAAGTCAGCCAGGCATCCGTGAACTTCTTATCTCTTATATTGCTTCTTGCTTGAAATCTACTTGGATTTAGCATAATCACACCATCTTTGTTAATTTTTTTATGATATATCTTTTTACTTTAAGTTTTTCTACATTCTATTACTTAAGATTTGTCTCTTGAAACAGATTAAAGGTGTACCTTTATAAATCCAAGACAGTCTTTGTCTTTGCATTGGGATAATCAGTTTCCATTTAATGTAATTACTGATATATTGGCTTTAAAGCTGCCATCCTGATGTTTTTATCTCACCTGTTCTTCATTCCTTTTTTCTCTACTTTCTTGGGGATTGTTCAAGTTTTTTTTTTTTTAATTGTTTTCTTTTGATTAGCTTTTTGGTTTTATGTTCTTTTAATATTCTTAATTCCTCTAGAAATTAGGATGTACATCCTTGACTTTTAAAAGCCTAAGATATATTAGTACTTTATCCACTTCCTGGACAATGGGACCAGCTTGGACCACTTTAAGTTTGTTTACCTTCTCTTCTCAATTACTGTATTGTTGAGTTTTTAAATCTGTAAGTTTTTAACATCACAAAATATTAGCATTGTTTTGTAAAGTTACTATTTATTGAGATTTACCTATATATTTTTCCTTTTCATTGCTCTTCATCTCTTCCATAATCTGAGAGCATCCATCTGAGATCATTTCTCTCTGCCCAAGGTCCACTCTTTCTTGTAAGGCGAAATGCTGGTACAAATTGTTTCTGTTTGTTTGAAAATGTCTTTATTTTGCCTCAATATTTGAAAGTTATATTGTTTGAACATAAATTCTGAGTTGATGATATTTTCCTTTGGTACTCTAAAGATAGCATCATTTTGGTTGCAGCCATTGGCCTTACTGTCATTCATCTGATAAAGTAATTTATTTTTTTCCTTTGGATGCTTAAAATTTCTCTCTTTGGTTTTCAGCAGTTTTACTATGATGTGCTTAGGTGTGTTTTTCTTTGCCTTTTTCTTGCTTAATGTTTATAATGCTTCTTGAATCCAAGGCATGATGCCTTTTACTTAGTTTAGACATCTCTTCAGGTATGGCTTTGTTATATAGTCTCTCATTCCTCTCCTTATGGGCCTTAATTATAACTATATTAAAAATTTTTTTAAAATTTTGTACTGGAAGTCTCTTCCACTGTTTAAAAATTTTTTGCCATTATTTTCATCCTTTGTCTCTAAATCTGAATATTTTCTTCTGAATTCTGTCCAGTTCCCTAATTTTGTCTTCAGCACTTATTGGCTATTAAGTCCATCCACTGGGTTTTTAATTTGTTACAGTCTTTCAACAATAGAATTTCTATTTGTTTGTGTGTTCATTCTCTGTACATATTCTTATTCTTATATTTTAAGTTCCTGAGCATTTTAAACAGCATTTCAAAGTCTTTGTTTCATAATCCCTGTGGGTTTTGTTTCTATGATCTGTTGCTTCTCTGGTTTTGTCATACCTTCTCACATACCTGATTATTTTGTGTGTGTGCTAGGTATTATATATAAAATATTGCAGAAGTATTTTGAAGCTCTGGATAGCATTGCTTTCCTCTAGAGAGGATTTATTTTACTTCCATTAGGCAACTCAACTGGAGCTGTTAGCAGACTTCAGATCACTATAGTCCAGTTAGGGCCAGAGATGATTCAGTCCCTGCCATTTCTGACCTATTTTCAGTTCACTTTGACTGCTAGGGTACATCCCTTCAGGATCTCAACTGAAAGGCTGGGTGAGGTGTTTATCTTTTCTTTGGTGAGCCCTAAACTCCAGTTTTTCAACCTCCCTGACCCCTTTCCTAGGCCTGTGAGCTTACAAAAATCTGTTTACTTTCTCAGTTGCTTTTGGAAGAGACCGATGCCTCAGCAGAATGGGGGGACCCCAGATATTCAAGCATCTCTCCAACATATCTCCCTCTCCTAGATCTTGGCCCTGCAATCTTCACCAATTTGACAGCTTTTCAGTGCCTTTAAAGAAATACAGTTTTCTTTTTCTTGGTCCACTTTTCTAGTTGTTGTCAGCTAAAGCATGATCAAAACCCACCTAGTTCTTCATTACCAGAAGTGTAACTGCAGAGTACTTTTTTTTTTAATATATTTTTTAAGTAATCTCTATACCAAATATGGGGCTTGAACTCACAACCCCAAGACCAAGAGTTATATGCTCCACCAACTGAGCCAGCCATGCACCCCGAAGACTCATTTTTAATGTCAAAAATTTTTATTCGGGGCGCCTGGGTGGCTCAGTGGGTTAAAGCCTCTGCCTTCGGCTCGGGTCGTGATCCCAGAGTCCTGGGATCGAACCCCACATCGGGCTCTCTGCTTGGCGGCGAGCCTGCTTCCTCCTCTCTCTCTCTCTCTCTCTGCCTACTTGTGATCTCTGTCAAATAAATAAATAGGGGCACCTGGGTGGCTCAGTGGGTTAAGCCTCTGCCTTCGGCTCAGGTCATGATCTCAGGGTTCTGGGATCGAGCCCCGCATCGGGCTCTCTGCTCGGCAGGGAGCCTGCTTCCTCCTCTCTCTCTGCCTGCCTCTCTGCCTACTTGTGATCTATATCTGTCAAATAAATAAATAAAATCTTAAAAAATAAATAAATAAATAAATAAAATCTTTAAAAAAAATTTTTTTATTGGATGCCCCTGTCCCCTCTCTTATCAAAACACACAAAGTAGTAATTGCACATGTTTCACATATAAACTAGAAATAAATATGTAATAAACATAATAGTGTGTTATTTATTTATGTCCAGGTTCTCTGCAATAACTGTTACTCAGGGATTTGTAACTCAAGGAAGGGAAACACTACTGGAAGCAAAGGCATAGTCTCAGGAAAGTTACAATATATTTGAAAGATAGTTTTAAAATTTACTTATTAGAGAGAGCACACGAGCTGGTGGAAGGGGGCAGTGGGGAAGGGAGAAGCAGGCTCCCCGTTGAGCGGGAAGCCCAACAGGCTTGACCCCAGGACCTAGAAATAATACCTGAGCTAAGGGCAGACATTTAACTGATTGAGCCAGCCAGGTGTATTTGAAGGAACATGAGGAGCCCAGCTTGATTAGAGATTTCATATACAAAAGCAGAGATCAAGTTCTGATTTGTATTCTCTATATAATAAGAAGCCATTAGATATTTCCTCATTGTGGTTATCTTTTAATAAAAGCTGTGTTTACTCTGATAGTGACATGCAAAATAGACTGAAGAAGTAGGAATAGAGGCAGAGAAAACCATTGGGAATCTATAGTAATGGACCAAATATGAGTTGTTGATGAGAGGCGTCCTAGTGTAATGAAAAGAATGTTGACACTAGAATCATAGGACTTGTAATTACTGGTCCTGTCAACTTGGGCAAGTCATTTAATCTGTCTGATTCTGCTTATTTACATGCCCATCACCTTGGAGGCCTTTAACAGGAATGATGAAATGCTAATAACTTTTGCTTAACTCACAGAGTGGTTATACAAATATAATGATAAGAATCTTTTTAAATGTATATTATAAAATTTAAGCTGTAATATGCAGTTGAAGATCCAAAGAAGAAAAATGGAGACTGGTAAGGAATGAGAGGGTGAAAGAAAAAAATGAATCCTGGTGACTAGAAAATAGAGTCACTTAAAACAGTCAGTCAGTAGAGGAACAGATTTGGGAGATCAGGACAAAGTTTAGGGAAAAAACAGTGATTTATTTCATTTTAATTGTGGAAATGGGGGCTCCTGGGTGGCTTAGTGGGTTAAAGCCTCTGCCTTCGGCTCGGGTTATAATCCCAGGGTCCTGGGATCGAGCCCCACATCAGGCTCTCTGCTCAGCATGGAGGCTGCTTCCTCTTCTCTCTCTGCCTGCCTCTCTGCCTACTTGTGATCTCTGTCAAATAAATAAATAAATAAAATCTTTAAAAAAAATTGTGGAAATGTTCAGCTGGCAGTTCTATTACATCTATTAGTTTTATATATTCTTAGATATTTTTATGTGAGATGATTCAATCTCCTTTATAAAATTAAAAGTTTTGATAGAAGTTATCTCCTTGAGAATATGTGTTTCCTCCTCATTTTTAATTTAAAAAAAATTAAAGCCTGTACCTGCTGATTTAATAAAAAGTTCCATCTATTTTGTCCAGTTTATTAGTAAAGTGATTATATGGTATGGGCACTTCCTGGTTTAAGGATTATTTGTTCCTCTAATTTAATACCAAACTGATATTCTTCAATATGCATTACTCTATAAGTTACCACAATTAGTATTTTAGATTACTAGTACCCTACTAAAAATCAGGCGAACATTTTAATTTCTATTTGAATTTCGTGTGAGATATAATAAATATCTTATTGAAAGTTACATGCATGATCAAGGCACCTGGTAGCTCAGTTAGGCGTCCAACTCTTGGTTTCAGCTCACTTCAGACTCTGTGCTGGCCGGGGGTGGCGGGGGGGTGGGGTCTACTTGGGATTTCCTCTTTGACCCTCTCCTTCTGCCCCACCCCCACCCCCACCACACATGCTCACATGCTCAAATAAATCTTAGAAAAAATGGAAAAAGAAAGTCATGTGCATGGTATATTTGTTTTATATTTTAAATGTATATGCCTTTAATTTAGACCATGAACTTTAAGATGTTTTCTTTTCCTTTTGAAATGCTTAGTTTCTCCTAGTTGTTTTTAAACTTAAAACTGTATGGACACCCAACCATAGCAGTAGCTCTATGTTTTGCACTAAGAACTCATCCCCCATAGTTTATCTCTGGACTGCTGTATATTACGACATCTGTAACTTTACATTTCTAGTAACATCCAGCATCTTCAGTTAGGTTTAGACTTTAAAAAAAAAAAAAAAAAAAAAGCTTTATCTACCTTTAGAAAGCTGATTGGGTGTTTAAGACCAAACATTCCTCTTGTATCATTTGCTCCCTCTCATTTTAGTCTAGTTTCCCCTACTCTTTTTTTTTTTTTTTTAAGATTTTATTTATTTATTTGACAGAGATCACAAGTAGGAAGAGAGGCAGGCAGAGAGAGAGGAGGAAGCAGGCTCCCCTCGGAGCAGAAAGCCTGATAGGGCGCTCAATCCCAGGACCCTGGGGTCATGACCTGAGCCGAAGGCAGAGGCTTTTAACCCACTGAGCCACCCAGGCACCCAGTTTCCCCTACTCGTAACATGAATAGAAATTTGGTTATACAGAGCTCTTTGCCTGCCTTTTATTTTTTTTTTCCCATTACAATTTTCAATATTTAACAGCCCTTCTAGTTCTACTTAAAATAAAATATTCTGTATTTTTTACATGGGACCACAGAAATAATGTACTGGCATTCTCCCTTACCCAGTAGACTTTGGCATTCTCAACCTCAGGGTACTTGGAAGTAAGAAAAAAAAAGCAGGGAAAATAGGTTTTGTAAGCTTTATTCTGCAACAAAAATATTGATCTGTTCTTGAGGAATTAAGTGTTTCACAAAAGTGAGTTCTCCATGTGACTAAAGCTTCAGTTATTCATCATGGACAGTATGTCAGTGCAGTTTGAAGGTCCTTGCCATTACTGGTGATCTGGTAAATGTTTGACAACTAGCTCACGGCTGGGGGGGGCGGGGGCGGGGGTGATCATGTGCAAATTTCAGGGGGTAAATAATCCCACTTTGGCTCATTTCAAGCTACCACAGGACATCATAGAACACAGAATTGGAAGGAGATGTATAATTATAAAACTATGTTATTTCTACAATATGGATATGATAACCACAAAAACATGGAAAATAGTAAAAATAAAGTGAATTTTGAGTATTACTAAATCTTATATATTGGATGTTAATATAATTGTCAGGTTATATAATTAATTTTTAATAATGGCTGTGTTTAATAGCCTGTAAAATTTTTTTAAAATTTTCAAACTGGTACTCATAACATAAGCCAGCTCTAGCGAACTACTGCCTGCACACTTAGTTTTGTAAGTGACTTAGGCACTAGCCAATATGAATTGAATCCTTCATGCCTTTTTCATATTCCTCCATGTTTTCCTTGTTATGACTTTACTTTTTAAAAATCCTCTAAGGCTACTGTAAATGTTCCATTTGTGTCATCTGTAAATAAATACAAACAAAAGGAATTCGATAAACAGTGGGAAAAATATAGAGACCTTTCTTCAAGGAAGATATATAGATGGCAAAGCAGTACATAAAAACATGTTGAACATCTTTAGTCACAAGGTAAATGCAAATTAAAATGACAATGAGATATACCACTACATACCTATTAGAATGGCTGATTGAAGATACTAGTCATAACAAGTCCGGAGGAACTGAAATTCTCATACACAGCTGGGGAGAATGTAAAATGGTACAACCACTTGGAAAACAGCTTGGCAGTTTCTTGAAATATTAAACATATACCTATCAAATGCCAGCTATTCCACTCCTAGCTATTTACCTAAAAGAAATAAAAACCTATGTCCATACAAACACTTGTAGAAGAATATTTGTTAGAGGAGTGCTCAGGTGGTTCAATCAGTTGGGCATCTACCTTCGGCTCAGGTAATGATCCCAGGGTCCTGGGATTGAGCCCCGAGTCAGGCTTTCTGCTCAGCAGGAAGCGTGCTTCTCCTTCTCCCTCTGCCATTCCCTGTACTTGTGCTCTCTCACTGTCTTTCAAATAAATAAATAGGGCCTTTTAAAAAAAAATAGTATTTGTTAGAGACAAAAACTGGAAACAACCAGAATGTCCACTGATGGGTAAATGGATATGGAAATTGTGGCATACCCATACAAAGAATACTACTCAACAATAAAAAAAAAAAAATTAATGAACTATTGAGTTGCACAACATAGGTAAATCTCAAAATAATTATGCTGAGTAAAAAAAGTCACAGAGGGCATACTGTTTTATTTATTTAAAATTGTAGAGAATGCAAACTAGGCCAGAAAATGGATCAATGTCTTCCTGTGAATATAGGAGAGAGGGGTTAGCAGAACAACAGGGTTTACAAAGGAGTACTCAGATACTTGTAGTGATGCATATGTTTATCATAATGATGATTGTTTTGATGGGTATATACATATGTCAGATTACCAAACTGTACACTTTAAGTAAATGCCATGTATGTCAATTGTACTATAATAATGCTATGAAAAATTTAAAACTGGTCTCAGGGCGCCTGGGTGGCTCAGTTGT